ACTTTCCAAATTTAGTTTCACAAAGAAAGTCAAGCAATTCGATTTTGATAACGATTTTTAAATTTTTTTAATTAGTTTTAAATACCTTTTTTAAATGTGGCTGTTCATATGTGTTGTGTCTTGTAGAAAACTTATTTCTCCTGTTTGTCCAGAGACTTCTTTCACTGAGTCGTTTGTTCAGTGAGTGGCTTGTTAGTGGGAGTGTACCGTTTTTCTTTGTGTAGCCCTGGTTGATGGTGAGAGCTGCTTTATACCTACCAGGTAAAATAACGGCCTTCTCCATTGACCGTATTTCCGGGCATTGTACAATTTTATATTGGAGATTGATAACAGGACAACTCAGATTGCGCGCCGATGTCAAGTAAGTTGTCACTCTGGCAAATATGATTGAAGGGCACTCATACGTAGCGACCAAGTTTTCGAGACGGAGACACACAACTGAAAAATATATCTCTTTGAGGTTGAATGAATGAATCTTAAAATTAGAGACATTCCGGCAACCATAAGGAGCCAGTGCATAGGCCGCTTAAGTGGGCCCTTATGCACCTCTACAATCGGTGGGAGATCCAATAGAGCTTCCATTGCACTCAATGGCGTTGTTCGCACTGCGCTTGTAATACTAATACTGAATTTTACTGAGTTTGGCCTTAGTTGTCTCAGTTCTCATGCAAGGCCACCAGACCAGGGAGCCATACAAGAGAGATGGACGTACTATCGTCGTGTAGAGCCAGTATACCACTTTGGGTTTAAGCCACCACCTTACCCCGACAACGTCTACAAGCCCTCATCGAATTGCGAGCCTTGCTAACCTTGTATTCCACATGCTCTCTCCAGTTCCGTTTGCAATCCAGGATAATTCCAAGATATTTCACTGACTGGGACAAAACTAATCTAGTCCCAAAGAAGGTCGGCATGACCAGCCCGTCAAGCCTTCTTCTCCTAGTGAATAGGATCAGCTCGGTCTTTTCAGCATTAACAGAAAGATCGACTTCCCACGATTCCACGGAGCGCAGAGCGCCCTGCATAATTTCCGAGACTGTTCTACAAAAACGCCCCCTAACTACTATGCTTACGTCATCAGCATAGGCTTGCGCTTAGACACCCATACTGCTGAGCCTAACGAGGAGTTCGTTCACCACGATACACCACAGTAGGGGTGACAGAACTCCGCCCTGAGGGCAGCCTCTAGCTACAATCACGCTGCACCTTACGTCATTCAGCATAGCTGTTGTTACCCGACCCTCCAGGGTAGATAGAACCCAATCTGTTAGGATTGATCCAAGCCCGTGTCTAACCAAGGCATGTCTGATAGAGTCGGTTGTGGTGCAATTAAATGCACCTTCAATGTCCAAGAAGGCCACGAGTGCCACTTCTCGCTGATCTGGAGTCTTCTCCAGCCTACCGACCAGATTGTGTAAGGCCAGATCAGTCGATTTTCCAGCTTGGTATGCAAACTGATTTGCATGAATGACACACCTTTCCAGCGAGCCATCCCTTAAGTATCTATCAACTATCCTTTCCAGTGACTTAAGCACAAAAGATGAAAGAGTAATCGGTAGAAAATCCTTCGGGCCAGTATATCGAGCTCTGCCCGGTTTAGGAATGAATACCACTTTGAGCTTACCTAACAAACATTTACACACATGCGTAGGTTGCATGCGTATGTATGAGAGAGATGGATATACAGGGTTGATGACTGTGATTATATGGTTATGTCACGTTTTAGCAGAGCTTATTAGAAATCAACGCAAAAAATCTTAAATTCATTTTTTTGTGAAAAATCTCTTCCATCCTTCAACTTTGGAGGGCGGTAAAAAAAATTAAGGTTGTATTTCATTATTCACTTTATTGCAGAAACTATTTCAATCCATGTAGAATAAACCATAACATTTTTTCACAAAAAAATGAATATAAGATTTTTGCGTTGATTTCTAATAAGCTCTGTTAAAAAGTGACATAACCATTGCTAAAACTAACCATTTAGCTCATCTCAGAAAAAGTGACAGCCCTAAACCTAGTGGTTTAGTCGTAATTGCGATTGAAAGTTCATTATCCCGTTTTTTTTTTCGAATTTTCACAAAATTGCAAATATCTCCTGAATTATAAAATTTCTGACTACACATATAGGGATATGTTTTGAGACCCTCTATCACCTGACTTCCGTTGATCCACTAATAACTTTTTACCCTGTATATAAAGGGATACTAGCAGTCTTACTTTGACCCGCCAAGAACGGTGACTACGACTATAGCAATTTTCATTTTTTTTTTGGAAATGTTTGCAAACCAATATGTTATTTTGAATGGAATATACTATTGTATAAAAAAATTTTGCATTTCTTTAACTGAACAGCTCTTGTATCAGTTTTGTAAACCTACGGGACCATTTTACCTTTAGCACTGTTTGTATTGCACTCCAATCCGTGCCAACTCCCAGTTATGTCCAACAATGCAGACAGGCATCACATTTATCTCACATATAAATGGGTCGAACGCATACACAATAAGCGAGGACATGTCTCCGTTCATTTATCTGATGGCTTTTGCTTTGTAATCCATGACCCAACTTTTAGTATATGGGTAACATTTTCACCCCAATACAGTCTGCGGTTTTTGTTGAGGACATGCATTGGCCTAAATACGAGGTCACAACCCAAATCGGGACAAAAGTTTGCGGACATGCAAAGTAAGGTGGAAGTAGGAAACAATGTTCAACATCAGAAGGTAAAGATAAAAACTCAAAAGGTAATCGTCCTAAATTGTTTTTAGGGTCTTATTGGCCTCTGTATTTTTTGTGAAACTTCTACCTGTCTCCAAATCGGATGCCAAATTATGAAAGTCCCCAAAACTGTACACAAAATCATGGTAAATATGCAAATTTTAATTGTATAAAACTATTCAACCGAAATGATCTGTTTAATTTAGCATCTGAAACTCATCCTGTGGTTTCCATGTTGATAATACCTCATGCTTGTCTGGTTAAATCAAAAACCGCATTTGTTTAAAATTCGTATTATACTCATCTTATCGCACTTCTTAGCTGCGGATACTTTCTATAAAAACTTATACAAAATATTTCTTCATAAAGATTTTTGTCATAAATATACCGTGTGGTATACAAGCAAAACTATCAAACTTGTTAAGATAAAGGGTATAAATCAACGAGAGAAGATTCACTGGACAACAAATTTTAGTTTTTTAATTGTATCTTGTGGGAAAAGTGCACTTCTTTGTTAATTTTGGGGCGCTGAATCCAAAAATGACAATGAAATAAAAAAATTAGTTGCGGTTTAGAAAAAAACTTTTTATTTTTAAGGATATATTAAAAAAAGTAACAAGATTCATATACTTATAAGAATCACTATATGCGCTGTCTTTTTGCTGTTCTTTTATGAATCGTTTCTGGAGGATCTCTACCAAGAGTCCAACAGTAGTCTGCAAGCATGGAAGGATTCCACTTTCCCTGGTACCTTTTTCCATTGTTGAAATATCCTGATGAAAACGTTCGCCGTGCTCATCACTTACGGCTCCGCAATTGTCAGGAAAAAAGTCCACGTGTGAGTGTAGGAAATGTATCTTAAGAGACATATTATAGCACATCTTTTGATACGATGACAGCATATTTTTGACAAGGGTTTTATAGTTGTCAGCTTTTCTATTTCCCAAGAAATTAGTGGCCACCAGACGGAAATCATTCCAAGCAGTTTTTTCAATACCTGTTAAAGTGTTTTCAAACTGTGTATCTTTCAAAATATTTCGAATCTGTGGCCCAACAAAAATACCTTTGCCTCACTTAGTCTTGGAAATTTCTGACGCAGGTATTGAAAAGCTGACCCATCTCTATCTAATGCCTTGACAAAGTTTTTCATTAGGCCCAACTTGATATGCACTGGTGGTAATAAAATTTTTTTCGAAACTACTAATGGCGTATGCTGTACATTTTTTTGACCTGGCTCAGTTTTGTCTGGTGTAATGAAGTGCCTTTGCCCGACTGTCCCATTCACACAAAAAACAGCAAAACTTTGTGTAGCCTAGCTGCAGCCCAAGTAAAAGTGCAACAACTTTCAAATCGCCACAAATATGCCATTGGTGCTCATCGTATTTTATCCATGTCAATAGGTACTTCATATTGTCATATGATTCTTTCATGTGAACTGCATACCCTACAGGAAGAGATGGTAAAATATTTCCAATATGCAATAACACTGCCTTTAAACTCAATGTTGAACTGTCTATAAACAATCTCCATTCTTCTGGGTTATAGTTTATATTTAAAGCCGCCAGTAAGCCGTTAATGTTACTGCAGAAAACCAAGTTATTCTCCATATTGAAAAATGGTTCTAAGTCTTTGTGGCGTTTACGAAAAACACATACCGAAACATCGTCTTCTAACAAGTTCCACTGCTGCAGTCTTCATCCAAGTAACTCTGTCTTACATTTTGGAAGTTCTAAATCTCTTACAAGATCATTTAATTTTTCTTCCTGACGAATCACTTGATCGCCATGATCTGATTCGTTTTCTGATTCGCAAGTGTAGGATTCTGGGGGTTTTACAGTATAATGTACTCGTATGTATAACGTAACGTATCTTTCCTTGCCGAATATAAAAATGTAGCACGTGCATTCTTGTGAATTACAGTATATTAACACTGTCACAGCAGGAACAAATATAATTACCGTATCTCTAAAACTTGAACTAATATTGAAAAAATAAGTTTCATTCCGGTTTTAGCACATTAAAAATAGTAATATTGTGTTGATTTTATTTAGGATATTTTTTGGCTGTTGATCAGTATTATCAATGATTTTCTGATTCATGATATTCAAGACCCGTTAAAGCTGAACCCTAAGTCATTTTGGTGATTTATTCACAAAAAAAACAGAACCTCAGGAATCCCAGCTAAGATGATTTACCATAATGAAACTTTATCAGCAGGTAGTAGTGCCTGAACACCTTGAATGTGATATGGATAGAATTTTCCAAACTGTCCAATGACTTACATTCAAACTATTGGCAATTTGTCGCGTAGAAGTAGTTGGATCTTCCTCTATCATGTGCAGCACATTATCTTCCAGTTGTACCGTTCTTACTGCCGTTAATTTTCCTGGCCCTGCACTTCGTTTCAACATGCCTGTTTCACGCAGACGTCGATTAATGATTACGAAGATTTTTCAGTCGGGGATATTACGGCCAGGAAACCATTCAATATACAATCGTCTAGCTTCCAATGAATTGACATCAGCAAGTCCATACATGTCATGGACGAATTGCGGAATCGGATAATTGCTGGGTGTAACTCAATTAGAAGCAACCCTGGTGTGTTTGAAAGAGTTCGGCACTCAATGACGAGAAGATTGAATGCTTGTATCCAGGCTGGAGGAAGTCATTTCGAACATTTATTGTTGATTGAGCAACTTTACATGTACTTTTTGATAACGAAATGTTGTCACTGTCGCAAATTTTGTTCACCCTGTATGTTTGAAACATTAAGCAGCGGAATAACCCCTAGAATTTTTCCGCATGTTTACCTAACACGTGTATATTCTGAGGTGGCCCATATCTAATCAGTTCTGGCAATCCCTTCATGAGATGTCAACAGTTATATAATAGAACGGTTTTAGTATAATCTGTACTGTACTTCTTTCCTGAACTATGCTACATGCTATCACTTAGGACGAACTACTTCAAAGATTGTCTGCACGGAACAAGGGCGTAGTCCTAATATATTTAAAAGCTGCTTCAAATATCGTCAAAGGCTGGTGGATGAGTGATGGATTACGATGATGTATGAGCGGTTTGAGGAAGTATGTTTTTAATTGCTTTGCGCTCTTTTCCTTTCCCCAGAACGGCGCTTGTATGAAACGGCCTGATTAAATTAAATTCCTTATAAGAAAGGTTCGGGATAAGGCTGTATAACGTCCTATTTGTGGTGTGGAGGGTCGGAATTGTGGAGGCTGCTAAATATTGCAGGCAATTATCTTGGACATTTACAATAAATCGATTTATGTTGCCATGAACAACAATTGTTAAAATGGTCAGGTCTTTGTCACTACCAAAAGGTTTTTATCTTATTATAATCTCTGAATTACCGAAGGCACAATGTTATCATTTTATTGCCAACAATAAAACAACTCCAAAATTAGTTTTAGGTCCTCACTTTGGGGAAACATATATGCATTGTGGCCTTAGAAATCAGCGAAAAATCGATAGCTTCGACTAATTCCAAGCTATCTCTACCAAGATTCACTACTAGAACAGAGTTATCCCACTTCTGAGACAACTATCTTTTGTCGCTTCAATATCCGCAACAAAGTCCAGTTGAGTTCAAACAAAATTGGAGCAGCGGGTCGTGCAGTTGAATCATTCGCCATTATCCAGGGAACAGACCCGGCTATACTACTCCTTTTCCTTACGCCCTATATAAGCAGTCTGCTGGATGTCTTCCAGAGCACCTTATCCTGTATTTTACAGCATCACTGTTAAGTCTTCCTTGAGCAAATCAGATCGAAGTGTTATCGATGTCAATTTCCAATCTTTGTTGGCGGTCATAAAACTCAAGAAGCTGTAAAACTTGACATACCGAATAGAAAGGGCTCAAAGACAATTTCTCCAGATTTCATGCGGGTTTGATTTCGTGACTCGGATGCAGTGGCGCAGCTTGCTCGTCAGGCGTCATATATCAAAATTTTAGAGGGGCCCCACCTAACTGTAGCAAATCCCAAATGGAGGGTAAAATTTGAAGAATGGGCTTTTTTTAATAGAAACGCTTTCATTGAATAATATAAATTGTCACGTATTAACGATGGGCGCCAGGTATTCACATATTCTCCAACAAAACTGAAACAACTACGTCAGTAGTAGTCCTCTAGGATCTCCACTAAACATTTCACAGCTAAGCACAATGTGCATGAGAATATAGTATCATATTTATGTTCCCAGACATTTTCTCCAGCTTTCATTCGAAACGTGTTTGATTTCATGACTCGGAAGCAGTAGCGTAGCTTGCTCCTCAGGGGTCCTATATCAAAATTTGTAGAGGGGCCCCACCCAATTGTAGCGGATCCCCAGGGTAAAATTTTAAGTATAGATTTTTTGCATTGAACAATATACAGGGTGGCGCATCGAAAACGAAACAGATGCATTTACTGGCAGCTCAGTTTTTTTTTGAATAACGCTCAGACCCGTCGATTTTGTTTTCGAGGGGGACACAAGTTTGTCAAAAAATCACGTTAACACTTACAGCCTCCTGGTCGGGGGTGACACCAACCCTAAAATCTTAAATGGAAAGGGGGATCGAGTGATACCTTATTTTAAAGGTCTTTCAATTCCCTTTATAATGATGTAAAATACGTGAGCTTCAGTTCAGTATTTTTGAAGATTTATTAATTTAAAGCTTAAAGCAGACTTTAATAGGTACATCAGATTAGTTTGTACTACTTTCAGAAGAAATTTGACTAAAAGAATTTACTTAATAAGTAAATGCTTTTCTTCACTACGCCCATGGTTTGTTGATCATTTTGTTGTTGAAAATAGCTATTGGACCGTTTTTTTTTTGTGGGAAAAAGTTATTTCTTAAAGAAAGATAAGGAAATATCTCGTACTTATTTTAAATAGGAATTTAGTACATAGTTTGCGATTGATTTGACCAAACTTGTAACGTTTTATTACGTAAATTAACCATGGTATATTCCACAGCAGAAAGAGTTGAAATTATCGAAATATTTTTCGGAAATAACCAGTGCGCTACTAGAACAGCGGAAATATTTAATGAGCGACATGAGAACAGTAACGTGCATCGAAAATGTGTTCTAGAACTTGTAGCTAAATTTCGGGAAACTGGGTCAGTCGTCAATAAAAAACGCAACATTGAAAATCCCATAAGGAACGAAGCAATAGAAGTTGGGGTTTTAGGGCAAGTTTATGTAGATCCTACGTTAAGTACCCGCAAATTGGAGACTGTGTGTGGTGTTAGTCGACGTACTGTCCAACGGATTCTAAAGGCCCACAGTTTTCATCCTTATAAAATTCACCTGGAACAAGAACTTAATGAAGACGATTTTGATCGGCGATTACAATTTTGTGAATATATGAGTGAACGAATTATAAACGATGAACATTTTCTATTCAACACTTGATTTTCCGATGAATGTTCCTTTTTCTTAAATGGCGTAGTAAATCGTCATAACTGCAGATATTGGTCCGATTCTAATCCCAGAATCTATCATGGGGTTCATACACAGCAGCCACAAAAATTAAATGTTTGGGCTGGTATTTTTTATTTAGTTGGTCCTTTTTTCTTACCTGGAAATTTGACCGGTGAAATGTATTTGGAATTACTGCAAGGCGCCATAGATCCTGCATTAACAGCCATATACATTGCGAATAGGTTGATGTTCCAACAGGATGGTGCCCCACCACATTACGCTTTACGTGTTCGACAATATTTAGATCAGACGTTTCCAGATCGAAGGATTGGTAGAAGAGGTGCCATTAAATGGCCCCCAAGATCGCCAGATTTATCACCTTTGGATTTCTTTATGTGGGGTCATTTAAAAAGCAAAATCTATGCTACTCAGCCAACATCATTAGAAGACCTGCGACAAATAATTGTGAATGAGTGCCTTCAAATTACTCCTCAATTATTGCAAAATGTGCGACAACGTTTTGAGCAAAATCTTTATTATTGCATGGAGAGTCATGGTGGCCATTTTCAACATTTACTAGCCTAACGGGTCAGTTCATTCTTCATTTTTATATTACTTTGCTGCCAAATGTATTGATCTCCACTAATGATGATGCATTAGTTTTATTTAAGCTTTAAATCAATAAATCTTCAGAACCACTGAACTGAAGTACATTAATTTTATATCATTATAAAGGGAATTGAAAGACCTTTAAAATAAGGTATCACTCGATCCCCCTTTCCATTTAAGATTTTAGGGTTGGTGTCACCCCCGCCCTGGGACTGCACGTGTTAACGTGATTTTTTGCAAAACTTGTGTTCCCCTCGAAAACAAAATCGACGAGTCTGAGAGTTTTTCCAAAAAAAAACTGAGCTGCAAGTAAATGCGTCTGTTTCGTTTTCGATGCGCCACCCTGTATACTGAGAACGTATGTTTATTAGAATTCAAGAATTTTTTACATATCGATTTATCTTGCCAAGCTGAAAATTTAATCATTTTACTGATAAGGGACACTGAACTTATATGCCAAAAATTATTGAAATCGGATAAGCATACATAGCTGTTTGCCTTTTTTGTCACTTTGTATAAATTGTCACACATTGACCATGGGCGCCCGAAAGAAGTTTACTCAGTCAGAGGCAGTGGATCATCAGCAAGAGATAGCTTTCTGTGAAAATGTACCTACACTCAAAACTTTTTGAAAGGACACGGGTGGCAGAGTTTATCGGTGTTCTAACAGGGTAGGGGGTAGTATCGTGAATGCGAAAATTTTAGAAATTCAGATAAATGTTTTTTTTTGTTTTGCCATGTCTACAACACGTGAATCTACATGAGGCCATAGATAGATAATGCTACTTAATTTTGAAAAATATTTAAATAGCAGAGGTGTTATGAGTAAAAATTAAAATAGCATTCAATTCGTCCCAAAGTTTGTTTTTGTATACTTTACAACTTCCAGAATATTTTTAAGGATACTCAAACATCGTAGTGAAGAGGTTACAATTTTTTAAATTTTCGAAAGTTTGCTTTCATTGCTTCTGATTGCTTTAGCTTAAGGCATATTCAAAAACATCATGGAGCTCAAAATTTTTTTTCTTTGGCAAGGCTTATATTGACTCAGACGCTTTATTGTTTTTAAGCCTCTGAAGACAGTGTCAAGTTACCTCATAGAAGTCCCAAAGTATTTTAATCACTCTTAGTTCTCTAGACGGTTAAAAATGAGAAGCTACTACTATCACCTAGAACTACTATATAAGGTTAGCGCTTGAGCTTTTTAATTCAGCGTGCGGCCTAAAAACTTGCGTGAGATGGTGAAAAACACTTTACCCCCTTTTTTCGTACGTGGGAGGCCCTGTGCTGCCATCAGAATACCAAGGCACACCAGTCCTTCATAAGTGAAAAGACTAATTAAGGATGCTATCCGCTAGTGAAAGGGTTGGGCTCAT